TTTTTTTAATATTTTGACAATAGTTTAAGATATTTCAAAATAAGCCCATGTTTGGTACATATTATTTTTTTCATTCTCATTCTTCTACTCATTTTCAACCACACATTCTTCAATATAATAATATTTTTTATCACATCAATAACTTTTCCTTCATTTTTAACTACATATTCTCCATCAATCTACTATTCAATAATACATTTTTTCAAAAGAATGTGTCCTAAACACACGTAACTTAACTTCCCAAAATATCTTTAAAAGAATTTACTTAGTAACGACAACGTTAATTTGAAGGTAGATAAAGAATTGAGACTCGGGCATGGGTTTATTACGCCCACTAAAATGGCTCCAAAAGAAAGAAAAAGGTTAATATTGCACTTGCGAAGGACCGGCAGAATATAGGAGGAAGTAAGTAAAGTTTAATTTTAAGCTTAGGCAAACACGGTCTAAACTCATTCAACCATTTCATTCTTGTCATATTCTCCCCAATTTTATTCGCATACTTTTCCACACATTGCATGATTTAGACCTCAAAAAATGTAAGCATCTTCTAGTCGTTTTGTTTCCCATTTCTTCATCATATGTATATTATTTCTTGTCTGATATCATTTGTTTAAAAGCTAAACTCCCACCTCATCACATTTTATTTGCTTAACCTAAGGAAAATTTGCCGTTTGGAAAGTATAAAACTCATGACCAAACCCCTTGTATAAATCACAACAAATTCCATACCCTCTTATTGGAATACAATGCAAGATGAGTAAAAAGGTTCATTCACAAGGAAATGTCCCCTTCTCGTGGGAGAACAAGCCTGGCGTAAGGAAGATTACGCTACAAGAATATGACGTCCACCACCACCAATATTTTGCACCACCAAAACTGCCGCCTCCACCTTGTCCGCCCGAAAACGGTAGGGCTTCTTTCCATGACATGCAAATTCCACTTCCACCATGCACTTTCCAACAGCTATCAAGAAGTGATTCAAGAAAGGGTCTTAAAAAGATTGATGATCCATTTCTGATTGCCTACAAAGAGTGCACCAAGAGCACTAGAAAAGGTAAGACTACATCGTGTGCCGGTCGAGAAGACAATAAAGGGTTTGGACTGACAAAAAAGAATGTGCCTGTGTCTGTTTTTTCATGTAAGAAGTCATGTAGTGTGAGAGAGGATAGTATAATTAAGTTATCTTAGTTACCAGTTTCAATATCCCCTAGAGAGAGATATATGGAGAGAAAGAAGGGCTTCAATCTTTGATTCCCACCTAAATTTGTTTGTATGTCATAAATTTAATCTGTCGGAGATCAGCACGCAGAAGAATTTTCTTCAAACTTCCTTTCTTTTTGGCATATCCTTTCCTTAGAATAAGCTGAGTTAAGATCTGTTGTTACCCAACTAAAATTTTGATATCTCATTATATGAATTCTTGTTAGCAAATAGTAAGATACCAGTTAAAAAATGATAGCAATTGTAGTATTGTGTTAACGTCTTACTATTGTTTATGAAAGATATGTAGGGATTTTTGATGAAGCTTTTCTGATAAAAGTTTTAGCAGATTTTTATAAAAAATTGATGAAATGTAATATTGAAAAGTTGATAAAAGTTATGAGTTTTATAAAATGGGAGATTAAAATTAATTACTGACTTTGACATTAATTTTTTAGTAACTTTTTTAAGCCTTTCCAAACGAGCACGAATGAGGTGACAAAATTTTATTAGGGCAACCACCAAATAGGACAACAAATAAGTCATCCCAATGTGGAAATTCTTTTTAGGGTCAACAAAAGAAAATTTTTGGGGGAAAAATTCCCTCTTTTTGTATTTTATTTCTCACTTTAATCTTCTGCCCGAGGAAGATGATGTTCCTAGAAAATCTAAAATAATGTTGATTGTTAATATAAGTAATGATTTTTAGTTTCAGTTATGCTAAAAATATTTGTAAAAATGTGATAAGTCTAATTAAATCGGAGTCCCATAATTCTAAATTTAATTGGATTTTACATATTATTCTTTCACCGTGGGGTTAGATCTATTTAAGAGTAATGCTACTCATAAATATATTTTCTACACTTATTTAGACCGCTAAATATGATTAATTATAATTAATTTTGATTACTTGTGGTTTAATTAGAAGTTAATTTTGTTTGTTAGTTAAAACTGGAGGAAAATTGGGTGAATAAGAAGAAATAAGCGAAAAATGGACGAAAAAAAGGAAGAAATACAAAGTTTTGGACCAAATTGTAAATATTTAATAGTTGATTCGAACCACAACGATAATTGAAGATTGCAAAAAGTTAATTGGATGTAATTAGAAGATAAAAAAAAAGAATGAAATACAATCAAAAGATTTTCACAAATTAATTTCCAACCGCACAAGTCATATTTCAGATTTTTAGTCGGAGATTAAGACCCCTTTTTAGAATAGTAAGGGTCTGTTCTTTTTACCATTTCCAAGCTTTTTTTTGTTTTCGATTTTTCAAAACAATGAAAACGTATTCTCTTTCCTATTTTCAAAAACAAGTTTTTGAAAACAAGTTCAAAATTTACTAAGAAAACTCAAAACGACAAATTTACTAAGCTTTCGAATTGAAAAAATGCTATTCCTACAACAAGTAGCCCTTTAAGTTAGCTTTCGAAGGCACTTTGAACCGGCTCAATCGGATATTGGAAAAAAAAAAAACATGATTAAAATATTGATAGATGTGCAAAGACATAACCTTGCTCGTGCGAATGTAACTTTTCTTATTTCATTGAAACTCTTTTGGAACCCAACTTTAATGTATTTTTGATCTAATTCTACCTTGTATAATACAAGACATTGACAATCATTAAAGAAAATCAAACTTCCTCTAATCTCTTGATACACAATAATATGATCAAATTCACTAAGAATAAGAGGCTAATTCATCACTTCTGAGTGAAGATCAAGTCCTGGCAAGAATTGAAGGTTAATTATATCAAACTTTTGAAGAATTCATCCTTGAAATTGAAGAAAAAGAATTTTCGCATCATTATTTTGCTTGTAGTTTATATAAAATCATACTAGGTTAGATCCCTTTTGTATTGAATGAAAATGAATCATATTATTTATTTATTTTAATTGAAAACTAGTAGTTTAATATTTCTTGAGTTTCTTAATTAATTTTGTATATTCATTGTATTATTTAATTGCTTGATCACCAATTAGATAATTAGTTGCTTGTTGCAATGTTTGAAAACTCATAATAAATTTAGAATGCGGCAAAATTAGCATATATACGATAGATGTTTGAAATAATATTTATCACGTGTGCAATCATATTCATAATCTAAAATTTAATGCATTCTTATTTGAATTCGAGTTATGAATAGATTCGGGTGGTTGTTATGATATATTATCTTCGAAAAAAATTATATATCACAACTTTATCGATTGTCAAGAATGCATAAATAAGACTGGATTATGTAATCGGGGAATTGAAATAAATGGTAATAGGCGGATTTGAATTCTAATACAATCATTCATAATTAATAAAAATCAAATTTTTACAGCTTTCTTATATTAATTTAGCATAAATCAAATTAAAAACTCATTTGTGTCACATAATTCGAATTCCTTACCAAGCTAGTGCACTTAAATTGAATTTATTCCCTATGAGACGATACTTTCAACTCACTAATTTTATTATTTGTGAACAATCACATATGCTTGCAGATTTCGTATGAACAGCTACTTATAGATAATTATTTATAGATTGATTAAAGAGAGAGAAAAAATAGTTTGAAAGATAGAAAAAGAGAGAAGAAAATCAGTTNTTTTTTTCTAATTTAACGTACCAAATGCGAGGGTGGGACACGGTATTTAGCTCCTGTCTGGTGGGGATTAAAATTGATTTTTTAATAAATTTTGATGGAGATTGATTAAATGTGTGGTTGAAAAGTTGTGGGACCCATAAAATAAATGATTAAAATTAATTGTTGATTTAGATTTATATTAAAATCTAAATTGTACTCGGTACCAAAGATGTTCTTAATTAGTAAGTAGCACCATCGAGCAAATCTACTTTATTAGCCGGCTTCTCTCTTCTCTTTTCATTGTAATGATGGAGTTAGAGTAACTTTCATAGTTAAGCATTCATTAAAAAATACATGGACAGTGACAAAGTAGGTTAATTTTATGTTTAGTGTTATTGTTTAGATAACTTTGATATTTTAGAAGATTTTACAATTTCTTTGTCGTATATATGTAAATTTTGAGTTATTCTACACGATACAATAGCATAGGAAAATGAAATCACAAATTTAATATCAAATAATTAAAGGATCGCACTACTAATTCACGAAAATCCTTATCATCTCCAATCGTAATTAACTAAACATGGAATAAATTAAAAAACTAAATTAGCCGGCCTTGGACTCCTTCTTAACTTATAATCTATCATTAATTATCATGAGAATAAATTTAAGTGTACAACATTGGTTGACAACAACGATTGACAACTATGTGTTGTCAAAATCCTAGCATGTGATGTAGAAAACAGTTTTTAAAAATGGATGGATATGATGATGCCTAATAGGATGTTGTCAACTAATGTTGTAAACCAATATTGTACATGTAGCATGATGGTCTCATCTTGTGGAACAATTTGAGTGACAGGTGTCAAATGGCCGGCCTACACCACACCAAAATATAGCTTGTCCGTCCAAATTTCTTTGACCAACTCAAAACTATTAGGTGAAAACGCTCTTTTACCGGCTAATAAAAATATTTAGTCTGTCATATCTTTACCGACAAATTTTTTCCCAACCCAATGGAAATGGTCAATGAAAATCGTCGTTTTCGATCGATTTTTTAACGACCACCAAAAATAGCCATTAAAAACATCATTTATCGACGACAAATGAAAACAACATTGAAATCGTCCTTGCCGATTAGTTGTAGACTTATAAACATCTTATTTACGTATGCTCTTAGTATCCAAACATCTATATATTGTTGAATGTGGTATGTTAGACTTGAATGTAAGAATAAGTGTTGGCATTACATATTATTGACATATTGTACTTTAATCCAGTATCTTTTATGTTTCACTAATATGATTTGTAATCCGGAGATATCTGACATGTAATTATTTTTTTTTCTGTAGTTTGTTAATGAGAAGATTCAGTGGATGCACATTGACATGGAATGATAAGAATAAAAGAGAACCAACCACAACCCACTATTTTTTATTTCGGAAGAGCATTGTTAGGGGTTTTCTAGAACTGGAGGCAATTCCCTCTGGTGATCAACAGCCCATCCTTGATCCAATATGAGGTCAAAAATTGCGGAGGAGCAGGATCCAAAGCGATAACTGCTACTAAGATGATCCTCAGTTTAGATAGGAACTTAAAATAATCATATTATTGTTTTATAATGTAAAACTAATTCACAAGATACACACACACACACAGGCACACCTCTCCTATTAGTTCGTCTTCCATTTACCTTTTTTGATTGTGACTATTGGTTTGTGATTTCGGATATTTTTGAATTCTTGCTTGTGCATTGTGCATGAGCGTGTCAATTCCTATGTTCGGTATAGTTTTGAGTTGGCTTTCAATATGTTTTGGAATTTTGATTACTGCACAAGTTTAATTGGTTTTTTTTTTAAATCACATTTGTTGACTAAAATTATAGTGGGAAATGTTACTGCATAGATTCTAATTTCCCGACTCAATTTTTCTTTGTTGATAGATGGAGGTTTTTCCCGACCAACGACAATGGTTTGGCCAATGTTTACTACCACCACTTGCAACTTCACGCCAAGTACTATTGTCGATTTTATTTTTTTACTTTTCCCGGAAAATATGGACACAAAAAATTTGTTCTTTACCAACCAACATAATTTTGGCAAGTAAAAATCTCTGTATTTCCCAACTAATGTGTATTCTAATCGGTGAAAACTTTTGCTCGCTGAATTTTGGTGACCAACTATCAATCAACATTTTCAAGTTAGTGATTGGCTTGACCGGGCTAATATCAGACTTTTAGAGACTAATTTCTTGATCAGTTTAACTCATGTTTCTTGTAATGCTACCCTCCAACTCTAGTGAAAGCATGACCTTGACCATATATTTATAGGTTCCATGACCAAATAGGACAGGTCCATACATCTTCGGGCCATATTGAGCCCTAGTGTGTAGGCTCAACGGCTCTTACGACTGTAACTAGT